TTATTGTGACTGAGGGAGAAAGCAAACTAAGCAAAAGATAGATAGATAGATATTGAATGATAGATAGATAGATAGATAGATAGATAGATAATGAACAGACTGAGGTAGATAGGTTTGAAAGAACAGACTGAAATAGATAGATAGATAGATAGATAAATGCCGCGGATGAATAGATAGATGATAGATAGATAGATATGAACAGACTAGGATAGATAGATAGATAGATAGATAGATAGATAGATAGATAGATAGATAGATAATGAACAGACTGAGGTAGATAGGTATGAACAGACTGAGATAGATAGATAGATAGATAGATAGATCGATAGATAGATAGATAGATAGATCGATAGATAGATAGATAGATAGATAATGAATAGACTGAGGTAAATATGATGAATAGACTGGGCTAGATAGATAGATAGATAGATAGATAGATGATAGATAAGATATGAAAAGACTGAGGGATAGATAGATAGATAGATAGATAGATAGATAGATAGATAGATAGATAGATAGATAGATATGAAAAGACTGGGATAGATAGATAGATAGATACATAGATAGATAGATAGATAGATAGATAGATAGATAGATATGAAGAGACTGGTATAGATAGATAGTTGCCGGATTCAGATGCGGCAGAAATATACATTGTAGACTACACTTTCCAATTGTAGACTTATAAATGTGTAAGAAAGATCCCGACGTGAAAAATCGTTTTGTATGTTCCCTTGAACTAACTTTCCGAGCTTTCAATATAATCTGTCGGTTTCATTTTAGCGGAAAACTTTAGCCCGAGAAGACGTCCTGTTGCTTATTTTTCATTAACACATAAGCAAATAGTTTTTGTTTTGTTTTTTTTACTAGGTTTGTTACGTTTTATTCGACGTTTTTCTTTTGTTGCTAGATGACGGCCTTTTAGCTGCCGTGCATGCATTGAGTTTATATTCGCGTTGTACCCTTCTTTCCGCATGAAAGCTTGGATAGGGATAATCACATCAGTTTTCGTTGATCCTGCTTTCTCTCCAGAGGCCATGACGTTTCGGTTGTTGTGCCCTCCGGCCTTCCTCGGGAGCACACCGATCTTGGTAACCTATAGTGAATTCTGAAATAAATCCTTTATTTAATCAGCGGGGTTAGACTGTTCACTACTCCTGTCTAGTGATATCGTCTATTTCTTATTATTATTTACTACTGTTCAGTTATTGCTCACCCGTTTCCACTGAGTGCAAGTACACACTGCCCAACCCAGGGATTGAACTCGCAACCCACCAATTTAGGACAAGTTGCTGCAGTGAACTTAGAGCCTTAAACGGACACTTCCACGTGATGTAATGGTTAGCAAGCTTCTCTCGCTAGTTCTATTACGACTGAGTAGTGAGTTCGATCTTCACTGGGTACTCCACAAATTCGGCCTTATGCCACATCTAAGATTCGCTTATAAAACCATTTAACATTTTATTTGTTTTTTTTATATATATACATTGTAATCGTTGTAAGTAATCATTAGGATTTCATTTTTAAATGTTGTTATTTTGATTCCACCCACCCAGAAAAATTGTACATATAGGAACTAGTTAGGGCTTCATAGAGACTTGAGGTATTATGGTGACTGTAGTACGAGTAATTATAAGACAGATTAAGACCAGCTTTCCCTATCACGCCTTTTGGCCTTGTGCCACATTTTTGTATTTTACTAAATAAATATTACTTAGAGTCTTAAACGGCAGAACCGTTGCGATAACAAAGATGAGGACAATAGTCCGAATATAAAAAGTGTAAATGCTGATAACTTCTCATCCCAGAAATTCAGACAATAATAGATATTCATAATTGGGATAAATCAATATCCTTCAGCAAGTGTTCCAAATAACAAACCTCTAGATAAACATTTCCAAAACGGTAACTATGACCCGGAACTAGAAAGAAAGTAGTGGAGGTTCTTACCCTGAATTCATTATAAACAATTCAGGATGTGGAAATTAGTAAATAATAAAAACTTTAAATACCTGGATAAGTTATAAAAAAAATTCGTACAGGAGAAAAGGAATTTGAACATAGAATAAGATGCACCAGGGGTAGTTTTGCCCAATACCACAAGTTGCTACAAAATCAAAATATTAACCTGAAAACACGGGTCATAATCTTAAATGGGCTCGTCAGATCAAGACTTTCATTGATATGAGCGCGTTTTGTTTAACGATCAAAAGCAAACGCTTTTAACACAACGTTGAAAATCTGGCTTGTAGTTGCATAAAAATCGCAGAGACTGACACGTCTACACACACACACACAAATACCCTATTCGGTGACAAAAGCTGCTGGTGGCACTAAAGGTGGCAGTACCGCCTTAGCCACCGAAACTGTGTTACCTCATACTGATTAGCGGTTGACGAGGTCATGCTTTCACTGGTTTTATGCAGAAAAAATGGATGCCATGAATGGTGGTACACCCATTCAGATATATCTAAACTGTCAGCTGTATGTAACCGCTTTCTTAATCCTGGAGAAGATCATGCATCTTCGATCATTGTGGACCGGCGCTACAGAATCACAAACCAGGAACTGTACCAAATAAAAGAAACCATATCACTTGAGGACTTTCAACATCAGCAACAACTAAAATGGATAGCACATGTAACACGAAGAGAAAATGATGAATATCTAAGGGCAGCTTAGATGTGGCACAAAGCCGAACGTATGAGAATGGAAATCACTACTCAGTTTTAATGGTTCACGCGAGACAAGCTCTCTAATCATTTACACGACGTCGAGGTGGCTAACATGTAACTCGAAAGGAAATGATGATATTAAGATGTTGACATTTTCCACACCAGTTCAAATAAAACGTTAGAAAGGAACCCCCGCCCATACAATACTGGAAAGAGCGATAACAATTACTGGACTTAAGAAACCTATTTTCCTGAAAATTGTTTTAAGAGAAAGATTTATTCAATGAATGCCGAATGTTTCCTTATAAGGAAACGGTGAATATTATTATCAGTGTGCCTTTAGGTCGAAGCAAATCAGATGATGTTTGTTTAATTATCTCTCATTCTGTTCATATCTATTTATAGATATAAAATCAGATTGCTGAGTTTGTATATGTTGTGGAGTGGTTTCACAGTGGAGGCTTGTATTTGTACTAAGTCGGTCCTAAAATAGGTTCGACGTACAAAACGTTAGGAACTTGATATAATAGGTAATGACGCAGAGAAATCTAGTGGTGGTCGATGATACTCTTAGTGTCCGACTAACGGTCGTCCGGCATCGACTGACTGACGATATTCACTCACCCCACCCCCCACTGGGGCGTCATGTGGCACAAGGCCGTTTTTAACGTGGGATCTCCGAGCCCGTGGGCTAGGCCCAAAAATATGCCCATTGAACCCGTATAAACGGTTTCAGAGTCGGTTTACCTCCCCGAAAGAGAATCCGCCCTTCCGCGTAGCCTCCTTCGGGTTCCTCCCCGCCCGAAGGCAGTTCAACAGAACAGCCGGTCAAGACTTGAACGACTGACTCAAAGATTTTCCAAGCGTAGCTTAGATGTGGCAGAAGGCCGAAAGCATGGGGCATCCAGTGAGGATCGAACTCACTTTTCAGTAGTAACTGATCTAGCAAGACAAGCTTGCTAACCATTACACCACGCCGAGGTGCCTCATCGACTGACAGACCCACTGAGCGACTCCCACTACTCCTACTTATTATAGGTGGGAGAGTCTATTAACTATAGAATAGGTGTTCCACTCTCTCTCTCTCTCTCTCTCTCTCTCTCTCTGTATATATAGACACACACACACACACACTCACACACACACACACACATTTACGCAATTGACCGTTGTTTTTACAATTAGCTTGTCGTTCAATTGAAAATATATTTTCAAGAGCTATATATATATATATATATATATATATATATATATATATATATAATTTATTCGAAAATTTTAAAATAAAAATGTTATAAAATTACTACAAAAATAGCCATTTTGTTTCAACACTTCTGGTGTCTAATCAAGTGATGGTGTTAAATGTAAAATAAAGGGTTTTAAAAGTTTCAAATCAATCAAACATCCCTCGTTAGGGGAAACGCTGTTACATAAGCTGCAATGACCAATCAAAATACAAGTATATGAGAATTCAAAAAACTTGACAACGAACTCAGTTTATAATAATGATTGTTTAATGTTAGGGGTAGACTAAAATAGAAATCATTCTAACTAATTGATATTAAATTTTACTATAAAATTGAAAATTAAAAATTAAAAATTTTAAATTTCAAATTTCAAAAAATTATTTAAAGAAGAAATTGAGGAAAAAATACATTGTCTTTATTGAAAGGCCAAAAATTAAGTTAGAATAAACGTTAAAATCTAATGTTGTTCTAAGCTTCGTTACAGCTTAGATATATTTGAAGTAATGGTACGGACAGGGGAGGGTGAAATCTTGTAAAAGACAATATATACACAATCAGATTATAATACACAAACACGTAGACATGTAGATATATAAACACGCAAAAACGCGAGCGAAACAGGAAATAGATGTCCAGGACCCTTAAAAAAACGACAACATATACATACAATGAAAGGCATATATAAACGCCCATACACACATACAGTGGTAAAAAGACACACATATACACACACCAAGAAATATTCATATTTGAAAGTGTTAGTAAACGAATTCAAACATACAATTGAAAATATAACTTACAGGGGCAAAAATATAAAATTTAAGAGGAGTAGAATAGAGAAACAAACATTCGTCAATAAACAAGGTAACGAAATAAGACACTAAAGTACAGTGTAACCCGGATGTAAGAGAGTAGTCGGGACCGGAGAAGAAGTCTCTTATATCCGGGTTTCTCTTATATCCGGGTTTCTCTTATATCCGGGTTTGGTCTATTTTATATACATTAACACAGGCTCTAATTTGGGACCAGAGAAAATCCTTCTTATATCCGGGTCTCTTATATCCGGATCTCTTATATCCGGGTTACACTGTATATAGAAATAGATAGAAAAATAAGTGTATACGCATACACACACATGAGAAAACACCTGCTACACCAGTTTAGCTATATAATGGTTCAGTGTAGGATACAGGTTCGATTCCTGTCAGAGGACGCATATTTTCTATGAAATTTCTCGGACGTTCAGGCCGGTAAATGTTCTTAACACTGTTTATTATAAACAGAGCATTTACTTGTGTATATAAAAATAATGTATAACAATATGCATATTGAAGTTTCTTTGTTTCTTTCTTTCTATCGATCTATCTCGGTATGTTCTGTCCATAAATACCTAAGTATACTAGTCGGTAAATACCTTTGTCTCACTTATCTGTTCTTATCCCTCCTTGCTTGTACATATCTATCTTATCACTTCAAATTATCTCTTTATCTATAGTAGTATGAACATTACATAAGCTAAATTTGCAAGGACAATAATGGAAACAACTGCAGAAGAAAAAAAAATGAAAGCAACGAACACAATAACGACTACCACATCGCGAAATCACGGTAACAAGTCGTCTGCAAACGAAGAGAAATACATTTGCAGCTTTATGTTGAATGGACAAAGCGAGAAATAGAAAATATTGATTTTTCTGTTTGTGCTGGGCGAGTCGACCGCCGCGGCCCGTACGCATGCGCGCGCATGCTCACACGCAGAAAAACTCGAGTGCAAAGAGCAAGAGAGTATCGTCGGCGAAGTTGAAATGACGCTCTTTTTGATATTTGCGATCGCTGGCTTCTAGCTGTCCGCTTTGACGCATTGAACATGATCAGCCCCCGAGCAGTCGAGCAAACGATCGTCATAGAAACAGCGAAGGACGCTCTCTTGAAAGAGAACGCCAGAGAGAATAGTTTGATGTACAGGGTGTTCCTAAAAATATGAATAAAAGGTGTACGTACATACTTGAAAGATCAGAGATCGTTCGGCTGTCTAAAGAAGAGATTTTGTTTTCAACAAGACGTTCTTTCTCATACACACACACACACACATATATATATATATATATATATATATAGTAATTATTAGGAGGATTTGATAATTATATTTAATTAACTCATCGAGTCTGATAGAAACCTCAACACAATGCAGAAAGCACTGGACGGCCGTTTGTCCTATATTTGGGACTCCTCAGCAGTGCGCATCCACAACCGAGAATTGAAACCCTGACAGTTAGGTTGTCAAGCAAACATCATACCAACTGTTCCACTGGGCCTCGGGGACGCAGAGATTGCAAATTAGGCTCAATATAGTGCCGCTCGCACACATATTCCGTGGTGGAACTCTTACTGAGTTCTCTGTAACCATAGGACTGTGCCCCCTGTAGCCATGACTACTCTCACCAAGCCGCTCACTCTAGAGTATTAGAAGACGGTTCAATCAATGATATACACAGATAGTAATTATTAGGAGGATTTGAACAATATTTGATAGTAATTATTAGGAGGATTTGATGAATTAATTATATATATATATATATATATATATATATATATATATATATATATATATATAAAATATTTTAAAATCAGGTCAGTTGCATCCGCTACCTTGGTTTCAACCTTACGGTATTTCAGGTGATTTTTATCAAATGACCACCTAACACATTATTTTTTTGAAACTAATGAAAACTACATTATTATTTGTTTATTTATTTTTGAAAATAATAATGAAGCGTTCGTTAGTTTTTTTGTTTTTGTTATTTTTTTTTTTAAATAAAGCGTTAAGAGGTCATTTGATAAAAAACGCCTGAGGACACCGTAAGGTCGAAACCAAGGTAGCAGATTCAAATGATCTCCTGAATTTTAAAGTAAAAAGCTTCACATGTTATTTTTACTTTTTATTTTTTTTATTTCTTTTTATCATGTGTATTGGTCACTTTTTAAATACTACTGTTTCCTCGTCTGATTCAACTCTGACCAATAACCTTTTATGTATTAAGTTAACCAATTAAATAGGTCAATGTTTGGTCCCTCTTTTATCAATACTAAGTATGATAGAAAGAAATATTAAAATAAACCCTCTCTAAACTCGACCATGTCTCTCACACCACACCTCGCTACACTCTCTGTTAAATTACATAAACTTAATACTACCCGCCAAAAGTGTAAATTTTCATTTCATTTTTCGTTTCACCTTTTGGAAGTGATGTCTGATGATCCAGCGTCCTTTAAAAGATCTCTGGTGAAATAAACTATTACAATGGAACCTTAAAGTGGTCTGTTTTTTCTTTAAATATATATATATATATATATATATATATATATATGTATTTATAATGTCATCCACATACAGGCCTGTTTCACTGTATCACAGCTCATCAGTGCTCGTAGACATCCGATTGCTTCAAGATTTGGCCTCAGTCAGACTTTCTACCCTTGAGCTATCAGCGCACGGCAGAGGGAAAGGGAAAATCTAGAGTATTATTTTTACGAATATAAACAAACGCCAAGCAGCCATAGTGCTCGATTCAGTTAATGAAGGGCGTTATATATATATATATATATATATATATATATATATATAAGCAGACAAGTTTGATTAAAAAGTACCGACAATTTATGTTTCATTTGTTATTATATTTTTACAACCTTTGAATGTTGAGTATTGTACATGAAGCTTTTAAAAATCATTTCACCCCCCCCGCAAGCAAGGCAATAAAGCGACTAGGATGCAAGTGGTTATTGAATGTTAGAAAATAAAAAAAAAACACTGTTAACGAGAGGAAACAATAAAAGAACGATAATTAAGAAGACAGAAGATAACGATTGTCATTACATTTATATTTTTGAAGATCGAAGTTGACCGAAAGGTAAGAAGCCGGTTGAGAGTTTCACAGACGAGAAGTGTGATAGAAGAAACTCTTAGCATAGAATTTACGGTTGAATCTAGCAATTTCAACCGTAAAATGGTGAGACTTTGACGCTAATCTAGTACCGCGCTTAAATTCATATAGTCTAGGTCGTATAGCGGAAGTTCAGCAGAACAGTTAACATGAAAGTATTCATAGAAAATTCTAGATAAACTGCCTGAAGTTCATATTTTATTATTGTTTTGTCCAAGTACTTTCGACAATCTCAGTCATTTTCAAGAACCAGTGTGGTGCATGTGTATTAGTTAAAATTCCTTTATTTACATCCTGGTATTCTTTGGAATGCCGTAAGTTTGAAATAGTCTGCGGTGATGTCGTGTTGGCTATTGGGAACGAGGCCACACGAAAAGAATGCGATTTCTTTCTTTTACTTTATTTATTTGTATTTTCTTTTTCTTATATTAATATACACACCTGATTCTTGGTAATGACTGCTATGGTCGAAATTACTTAGACAAAAAAAAAAAAATAACAAAATATGAACTTCAGACAGTTTATCCACAACTTCGAGCACAATACGCAAAACTTTATTCGAAAATTGCAAGAATATAATCAAAAACAAATTAAACAAAACTTGTCGATGATTTTGCAGGGCAGTGGCAGCGGACACAGTGGATTAAAGGAAAAAATATTGTCCTCCTCCGTGACAATACAAGGTCGCATACAGAAAAAATAACACAGGGAAAAAAAAGTTTGAAATTCGATTGATCTGTTCTAACCCGCTCGCCATATTTACCTGAGCTGACACCAAGCAATTATAAGGTTTTTGCGATCACTGCAAAATACTTTGATATGGGGAACGTTTCTCTAATGAAAACCAGATTCATTGGTATGTCGAGAAGCTTTTCACATACAATCCTGAGGAATTTGACTGAAAAAGGTATCGTCTGATAATTGCCAACAAATCATTGCAAATGCATAAAATGTAACTGTAATTTATTTACAGTTTGATTTATTATCACTCCACCGGAAATTTGGAAACGTCATGCTGCTTGGCATTAGTGCCGGAAGCTCGACTACGAACATTTCAGAGTGCGTGGGTATCAACCTGAGGACATTGCAGAGGAAAGAGTTGAATGGTAATTATGGAGGTATGACAGCTCGGAAAACTCACTTTGATCATTCTGATAAGAAAAGAACTCCCGAATTTGTTGGTGAGGTCCAGGCCATGATTGAAAACGATCCAAGTCAATCAGGTTCATAGCCAGAGACATAGGAGTGTCTGAGTTCCTTGTCAGGCAGGTAGTACATGGAAACATTCAGTAATTCCCATACAAGATGAGAAAAGGGCAATTTTTTTCCAAGCCACGAAGGACGAGAGAAAAGACTGCGTTAAAAAGCTTTTGAACAAATTCGAGCACCCTCTCCAATTGGACATGCTTTGGTATTTCTCAGACGAGAAAAAAATGTCTACCAGGATAAGATGATGAACACACAGAATAACTGCTGGCTTGCTGTGTCCCCAAAAAGATGTACCGAGGTAATGAGTGTGATGAGAATCATATATATATATATATATATATATATATATATATATATATATATATAATATAAAAAAAAGCTTAACATTAATATTCCATGGTCATAATATATTCATTGCAATCGTAAATACGATACAATTCATCAGACCTACAATTCAAATTTTTGAATTTGTAGGTCTGATGAATTGATCGTATTTACGATTCCAATGGAATAAAATTATGACCATGGAATATTAATGTTTAAGCCTTTTATTATATCCTACTCTGTCCTGGACATTGAGTTCTACCTGGATTCTATCCTCTTGGAATTTTATATTCAAAAAAATTTATATGTATGTGTATGCAACTGTGTGTATATATATTTATATATTTTGCATATGTATGTGTATATGTACCACTAATATTATATATATATATATATATATATATATATATATATATATATATATATATATATATATATCAGTGGAGTCTGATTTATTAATTTATATGTATATACACTACAATTCAAAAGTTTGAGGACACACCTGGTAATTTTTTTAATTAGACCCAAAAAGTAGTCTAGTATTTTAAATAAGAAAAGATTATTATACATGGTTAAAAAAAAAAGTTAGACATAATTTTTATTAGAAATTTTATAATGACTAAAAGAAAAAAAAGTTTCATGATTAAATTTGCTCTCGTCAAAATATCCTCCTTTAGTCTTGACTACTACAACACAAATTTTTGACATTCGTTTGCAAAAGTTTCTCAAAGTATAAAATTTGATAGGCCGATATTTAACAGCCCCCCCCCGCCCTACGAGGAATGTATGTGGCACAAGGCCGAGTTTAACGTGGGTTTCTCCCTGCCTGTAGGCTCGGCCCAAAATAATCCCTTAGAACCCGCATAAGCGGCTTCGGGATCTTCCTACCGAAGGGCAAAGTTTCGTCCGGGTTCCTCTCTGCCAAAGCAGAGAGTTCGACAGAGGTCGCACTGTCAGAGACTGCGTGTCGACTGCCTCAACGCAATCATCAGGCCGCGGATGCTGGATTTTTCCTCGCCTATTTATATATATGGGTCAGTGGTGCATTGTGGGTAATCTACACTGACCCATATATATAAATTGGCGAGGAAGAATCCAGCATTTGCGGCCTGACGATTGCGTCCAGCCCGTCGCCTCTGAGTGTTGACTTCAATGTTCACTATTATATTTACATACGCTCTATCTCTGATATTGAGCGCTTTATCCCATAAATATAGCACACCTTAAATCTATATTTTTTCATATATATATATATAACCTACTTCGATCCGTTGAAAAAGCACTAAATGATAAACGCCCTGTGAAGGCACGTTGAAGTAATGGATAGCAAAGTTCGAATTCCAGTCGAGTTTATTACATTTGCTTACGTGCCAATAGCCTCACGAAAGGTATGGATCCATCTTTCCTTCCTCCCCACACCACCACCACCAGGTATGGTTAAACAGAAGAACAGTTCTGATCCTATAGACCTGGGTGGCAATCGTTCTCTCGCTCTCTCACTCTCTCTCTCTCTCTCTTTCGCTTTCTCTTTCTCTCTCTCTCTCTCTCTCTCTCTCTCTATATATATATATATATATATATATATTAATTTTGATTATAGGTGCAGTTCAATTTATAATTACATGAATGATATGATCCCTGTTTATAAATTCCTACCTACCAATACAAAAGAATTCGCTTATTCCTATATTTGTACAAAAACGCACAACCTTAAAATTTAAATTCAAACTCAGCGTTGCGACCGCACGTTCCAAAACAATAACACATTTCTCATAGCATTTTTTCGGATTACATCTCTATTTTCGTTGTCCTCTTATTACCGAGAAATAAAAAAACAAGAACAAAACTATTTCCATACCTGAGGATGTCTGTAGGAACAGACGAAAGCTTGTAAAAACTAAAAAAGACCTTATAAAACTGGAATTTATAAACAGGGATCATATCATTCATATACAGGTTCGGGGTTAGTGTACCTTATTGAAATTGTTTGCGAAGATGTATTCTCGCCATTTAAATCATTGACCTCTATATTTGTTTTTTGTATGAATGATTCATGTATTATATATATATATATATATATATATATATATATATAGTTTTTAGTTTTTATTTCCTTTGGTGGGAGTAAGGGAATACAAAAGCTCCCCATTTCCCCAAGCGCTTCAGGTCACTTCCTTAACCATTTTCAAGGCGATTTTGTTTTGCTGTTGTCGGTTTCTTTTCATGATTTGCCTATTTAAGATTTATTTTGACAGTAACTAGATGCACAATTATTACAAGCCGGGCGATCTCCCTATACGAATAATTATTAAGCACCATATTACTGCTGTAATTTCCGAAAAACATGTAAAATTTACAGTATATTAAAGAAACTGGAAAAATCGCAAACCTTATTGTCACTAATAAAAATAACCCCATCACATCTACACTATAATTATTAGAGACGGTATAATAAAAGAGACGGTATAATAAAAGAGACGGTATAATAAAAGAGAAAAGGTAAAATAATACATCTAATTTTGCCCTGAAAAGATTGATTCCAACGTTTTTGAAATCGCGGTATATTCCAGCACGCCAAAAGGAAAAAAAATCGTCTTTGTGACATCAATTCTGAACAGTATTTGTCACCAGAGACTTTTGATCTTCAAAGCGAAAAATACGTCAGACTACAGATCCTGACTCACGTAATCTTACCTAGAATGCTTAAGAAAAAAAAAACTGACCTTACCATCAAACAAACAAAAAAATCATTCGGATACTTCCTTTCGTTACTAAACCGTCTATCTAAAAACCGAGTGAAGACAGAATGAAAAGCATCCTCGAAAAACAAAAGAACAAAAATTGTTTCTCTGTCTTCAGATAGTCATTTTGTCCGTACTTCCGGCTGTCAATCAATAGACGAATCGTCTGAGATCGCAGAGAAGCCAACGGATTCTTGTCTGAACTGTGAAATCCAGTACACACCCAATCGTCTGCCCTGACCCCGTGATACGTTTATCTTGGTTTTGATTTTTTTCTTGTTTTCAATTTCTACAAACTTTGTCATTCACACTAAAGCTATTTCTCCTTTCTTATCCTAAGTCAGAGGCCTTCACCTATATACTTCTAGCCATCTACACATTGTGATCACTTTGCTGAAAGATCATACTTTCTTGATTTCAATTGTAAACTTAGTACATTAACAACACATTTCATTGTAATTTTCACTTTCCAAAATTATAGTTTCTAATTATATTTTCGACTAGCAGCCATACCCATCTGGTCGATCAGAAAAAAAGCGTTCCATTAGAATGGAGCAAAAACAGCATCATGTTTAGATGTAACTGAGTCTATCTTCTTCAATTACTTTAAAGTACTTTCATTAAAAACATTTTGAATTAATGCAGTTACTGATATAACAGAAGTAGTCTGTATTTATTCAATCCAAGTTAGCCGAGGACATGAAGGGGTAAAACAAGCAACATGAAGACCCACTTCAGATGTGCGAAGTTTGGTCAAAATCGGTTGGATGGATCTCGGGTGAAAAGGTATCACACTGAAAGACATCATCTGTTTTATAGATAGATAGATAGATAGATAGATAGATAGATAGATAGATACATAGATAGATAGATAGATAGATAGATAGATAGATAGATAGTAAAAAATAGAAGACTTAATTTGACGTCAGAAGAATATGATTAAAACAGCCAGGTGTAGTATGGACTATAGTTTGTACAGTCTTTCTATCTTTTTCTTTCTTTCTTTCTTTCTTTCTTTCTTTACCCATCTTCTTGTTTCGTCTTTTCTCTTTATTTCTTTTCATTACATTTCCCATCTTTTTCTTTCTTTCTTTTCATTAATGTTCCAATCATCCATCTCTTTCTTTTTTCTTTTATCCACTTCATAATTTACCGTCTATGGCCTGTATCATTTAAGAGATTGCTGCCAAAGGTTTCTTTCTTTCTTTAACAGATCCTAATTCTTTCTTTCTTTCTTTCTTTTTCTTTCTTTCTTTCTTTCTTTCTTTCTTTCTTTCTTTCTCCCGATGTCAGTTTAAAGTGAAGCTATCTTTTTCCAATATATTTTAAATATATCTTGCTTAAACTTCTCATTTCCTTGATTTCAGATGAAACCTTGAAAATTTTCCAACATATTTCAGTGACATTTTCATTATTTCAAATCATACTTTAGAAAATGTCATTTTGAACTGAAGCTAGGAAAATATGGGTTAACTTATATCGAATTAAAATTTAGTGCAGTTACGTCTTGTCGAAATCGCTTTAACTAAACCAAGGGAATAGACAGTGGTGCTAAACCTTGACACACCTATTAGGCTCAATTCCTCAATTGCCAAACTATATATATATATATATATATATATATATATATATATATATATATATATATATGCATATATATTATAAATTAACTGATTTAAGATATATTTTTTTTCGCTACACAATTCTAACCATGCTTCTTTGTTTTTATTTATATATACATATATGTATATATGTGTGTGTGTGTGTGTGTGTGTGTGAATGAATGTTTTTTTTAAAGAATCACATAAGTTACCTCCCTTGCATAGAGGTAAAAATATTTTGAATTTACGCTGTTAACGCATAAGACATCAATAGATATGAAACCCCCAGAGATGGTCTCGGATGAGATTGAAAGTACTTGGGAAAATAAAAATTATTTGAAAGTAAATTTTGCAAGTTTTTGTAATCAGTTCTCAACAGATACCTAGAAATTAATTTGTAGACTTGAAAGGATTAAAACTAAAATAGTCATAATACGCCTGAATTATATAACTAAACATGATTCAATGAAAATATGCTGCATATATATATATATATATATATATATATATATATATATATATATATATATATATATTTAAAACTTAATATTGAAGTCAACACTCAGAGGCGACAGGTAGTTTCATGCTAGACGCAGTCGTCAGGCCTCGAATGTTGGATTTTCCTCGACTATTTATATATATGGGCCAGTAGTGCATTGTAGATAATCTATTCTGGCGGTTATTTTTGCGGGAGTGACTTTGTTTATTTATTTGTTTGAGTCAATTTATTTTACTTGTTTTTCATTTTCATTTTGTATTATTTATTCCTTTCGGTTTTTGATGTTTTATTAACGTAGTAAAAAAATTGTGGGAGGATTTGCTAAGGTCGCTTATTTAATAGTTTGTTTTGGTCTGGGAAGATCATTAAAGCTATTTCTTCATCCAATGTTAAGATTGCTTGTCGTCGTGTATTCAGTTATTTTGCCGGGGGAAGTTTTTAATTTATTTATTTATTTGGATTGATTATTTTTAATTGTTTTTGCTTATTTGTGCTTATTTTCATCAGTTCTAACGGTTATTTTAGCGGGGTCGATTTGTTAATTTGTTTATTTATTTATTTGGATTAATTTTTATTTGTTTTTGGTTTATTTACTTATTTTTTATTTTGTAGACCAAAACATACTATTAAATAAGTGACCTAAGTAAATCCCCTCTCCACAATGTTTTTACTACGTTAATAAAACATCAAAAACCGAAAAGAATAAATAATAGAAAATGAAAATCCGTCTTCAGTATAAATTATTATTTGTAGAATCCGTTTTCAATCTGAATTATTATTTGCTGAATCCGTTTTCAATCTGAATTATTATTTGCTGAATCCGTTTTCAATCTGAATTATTATTTGCTGAATCCGTCTTCAGTTTGGTATGAATTACTATTTGCTGAACCCGCCTCCACTATAAATTACCATTTGCTGAACCCGCCTTCAGTTCAGTATAAATTACTATTTGCTGAACACGCCTTCAGTTCAGTATAAATTACTATTTGTAGAATCCGTTTTCATTCTAAATTACAATTTGCTGAATTCGTCTTCAGTTTGGTATAAAGTACTATTTGCTGAACCCGCCTTCAGTATAAATTACTATTTCCTGAACACGGCTTCAGTTCAGTATAAATTACTATTTGTAGAACCCGTCTTCAATCGAAATTACTATTTGCTGAATCCGTCTTCACTTCAGTATAAATTACTATTTGCTGAACACGGCTTCAGTTCACTATGAATTACTATTTGTAGAATTCGTCTTCAATCGAAATTACTATTTGCTGAACGCGCCCTCATTTCAGTATAAATTACTATTTGCTGAACACGCCTTCAGTTCAGTATAAATTACTATTTTTAGAATCCGTTTTCATTCTAAATTACAATTTGCTGGATCCGTCTTCAGTTCGGTATAAATTACTATTTGCTGAACCCGCTTTCAGTAAAAATTACAATTTGCTGAACACGGCTTCAGTGTAGTATAAACTACTATTTGCAAAGTCCATCTTCAATCTAAATTACTATTTGCTGAATCCTTCTTCACTTCAGTATAAATTACTATTTGCTGAACCTGCCTTCCGTATAAATTACTATTTGCTGAACCTGTCTCTACTGCAGTGTAAATAACCTCAAATGTATCGATCTCTCTGTCTATTGATCGATCAACTGTCCATGAATCAGACGGATTTTTTGTGATGTCTTATCGAGGTGAGAAAGAAATCAAGTGTTAAATTTAATCAACTGATCATAAAAAAAAAACCTTCCACGTACTTGCTGCAATCGGGAAACTTAAATACACTATTTCTTACCAAATTGACTATTTCTGATTCTTGTCTAAATCAAGAGCGTTTCTTACTTCTACGTTTAATATACCCTTTTCGGTGGCGTGGTCTACGGTCAAAACACCGAAAACGCCGGATCTCGTTCGACCACCAAAGTTAAGCAGGGTCTAGCCCGGTACTGAGGGACCGTTTGGAAACAATCTGAAATATATTTCGGCTTCAAATAAAAAACAAAGGGTTGATAAACCGTAAAAACAAGAACCCAGTGGCATGTCTAGCGGGTGCGCCTCTGTCGTGTAATATTCCTTAACTCGGCATTAAATCATCTGGCAACATTCGATACCGACAGACAGTCATTGAAGGCGCTGAAGTTTTAGGCCTAACCGACACCTACCTTGTTTCTTGACGTCCACATGTAATCTCGCAACCAGTTCAATGGCATACGGTATATGCGCTTGGGCGATCATGTCTCTTTCGATTACTGACTAGGCAGAATATTTTCTCACAGTCGCTATTTCTTTCTGCGGCTATCAAAATTATAGCAGACTGTTTCTGCTATTTAACCCATAGATAGGGGAGTGTATTTGCGCGTAATTGACTGTACTGAACCCGACTCGAATTCGATCTCAGTTCTCTGGTTTTTCATACCGTTTATCCGCGTTTTAAATTAAATGATGTTTTGTGGTTCTATTTCATTTGTCAATGAAATATTTAAAAGATTAATGAAATATTCGTCTTATGGAGTATTTTATTGATATTGAAACGCTAAAAGATATTTTTTTATTTTCATAATGTGTTAAAAAGATTGTCTTCTTGCGGTGACATTATGTCAACTTAATCAGCTAGAATCTGAAGTCATGTACTTTTCAAAATTTTCTTTTGTGATAACTCATTTGACAACCTCATAAAAGAACTGTTTGATAAGATACCATTATATTGTCAAAATTTATTAGGCAGGGTCATAAAAAATGTCAGTTTTTAATTGGCTGGCTTGTTGATTTTCTTTCGCTATATGCGTTATTTAATGCCAACATTTAAATATTTTGAACGCAATTTTATACCCTGAACAACAGAAACTTAGTAATTAATTTATACTTTCAGGATAAACGTATGCTTTTTACATAAATACTGGGTGCGATGGAAAAATTGTCGTCTAAATGACGCAAAAATGAAAATAACATTATCGCTTTTTAATAGATATAGAGGCTGCAATGGAAAAATTGTCGTCTAAATGACGCAAAAATGAAAATAACATTATCTCTTTTAAATAGATATAGAGGCTGCGATGGAAAAATTGTCGTCTAAATGACGCAAAAATGAAAATAACATTATCTCTTTTTAATAGATATAGAGGCTGCGATGAAAAAATTGTCGTCTAAATGACGCAAAAATGAAAATAACATTATCTCTTTTTAATAGATATAGAGGCTGCGATGGAAAAATTATCGTCTAAATGACGCAAAATTAAAAAATCACACTGACATCTCATTTTGAAAGATACATTTACCAAAATTACATAAAATTATCTTGAAATACTAAAGAATAAATTTATTCAATAAAATCACCATCGGCTTCAACCACGGCCTCCATACGACTTCGGAGTCCTCTGCAACTCTTTTGGACGGTCTCCGTGTTTAAGTTGGTGAATGCTGACATAGTCCTTGCCTTCAGTTCATCTTTAGCGTTACAAGGAGTTTTGTTGGTCTCTCGTTCAACTGCAACCCACATATAATAATCAAGGTGGGGTTGCACTCTGGGGAGTTAGGGATAATGTGGTTGCAGAAATTGTCTGACATCCATGACTGGATTCGCCTGCTTATGTGACATGGTGTAGAGTCCTGTTGCCAGGCATAGGGTCTCCCAGCAGCCACGTATTTTGAGCCAGGGCAACAATGCCTCCTCCAGACACTTGATGTAGGCCTCCGTGTTGAGTCTGAGGCCCTTACAAAACAAATTCGTGAGTTCTTTTTCTTATCAAAACGATCAGAGTGGGTTTTCCCAGCTGCTATACCTTTGTAATCACCATTAAACTCATTCCGAATCCTCTGCACCCTCCTCAGATTGACACCGAAACACTCTGAAATGTTCGTATTGGAGCTTCCGGCGTGCTGTTTCCAAATTTCTGGCAGAGTGAATTGTGTCATGGTGCTCTTTTACTCACAGACTGTGCCTAACTGACCCTACTATACTGTGCAGTTGAC